CCTACCAATCTTGTTGCTCCTTGTGGTGGTAAATTGAGTTGATGCATTACAAGCATTAACTCCCTCAATTGCTCTTGCATTTGTGCCATTGCACTCTTCATTTCAAGAAGTTCTTCCATGATAATACTTAGAAGAGAGAAGATGTCTAATATCGCTCAAGACAGCTAGAGAAGAGGACTTGCGGACAAAGAAAATACTAAGGACAATATCAGTTTAGAAGAGGGTAATCCGCAACTTCTAATACGCTTATATCTTATCAAGAAAAAGGGATAATCCACTCTTAATCAAGATTAGACAAAGCTTTGATATTGTGCGTGTACTCTTGTCAATCTGTCAAGGACAAGAACTCGATGAAAAAAATAATTCAGACAAGTGAGCCTTCACTCAAAGAGAGGTAACAAAATATATATAAATAAGTATATATATTGAAAGAGGAAGTGGAATGGCTATTGCCAAAAGACAAGAAAACTAGAGACCCTTGAAACTAGACTAGAAGCAAGAAAGGAGTTGACAAGAGTGAAGAAGCCTTCACTCTTGTCTCTATATATACTATCTAACTAAGAGCTACGTGGCGATGTTCTATAGGACCTCTAATAGGTGTTGACTTTGTAGGGCACATGCCTTGACTTACAAGGCAAGTTTTTCTATGTGTGGGCCACATAGTTAGCTTGATCTTCAAGCTAACAACATGTGTGGCACATGGCCAACTTGTTGACCACGTTTCTAATCCAAAAAGTCAATTAAAGACACCTATGAAGTCAAAGCAATGTCTAGGAAGTTTCTAGGAAGCTTCCATATTAAATATTATAGAATTAACTTACTTTTACCTACTTTTACTTACTTCTACCTATTTCTATATATAATTATTAGCTTACATGATTATGGCCGTGACAACATGCCTTGACTTACAAGGCAAGTTTTTCTACGTGTGGGCCACATAGTTAGCTTGATCTTCAAGCTAACAACATGTGTGGCACATGGCCAACTTGTTGACCACGTTTCTAATCCAAAAAGTCAATTTAAAGACACCTATGAAATCAAAGCAGTGTCTAGGAAGTTTCTAAGAAGCTTCCATATTAAATATTATAGAATTTACTTACTTTTATCTACTTTTACTTACTTCTACCTATTTCTATATGTAATTATTAGTTTACATGATTATCGCCGTGACACTTTGAAGTAGATGAATTGACAAAGGATCCTAAGTTCATACAGGATATGTTAAAGGTTTATTTTTATAATTTGGTATATATATAGATGGATGTAAAAGTCAAATAAAGGAAGTTGTTATTAAAGGCAACAACTACCACTTATAAGTAATGGGTGTTGGAAGTAAGAGTTATCTTACTCTATACCCTCTTTGAATGTAATCTTGCTAATACAATGTATTATGAATTTCAAAGTTATCTTTCTTTAATATAATTATATTTTTATAATCAAATTAAATTAATACAATTATTAAAGAAGTTCTTACTATCATTGTGATATCTTAAACATGTGTATTTAATATTAATTGAGGTAAAAAATAAAACTGATTAATGACAAGAATTAGTTCTTTCATTTCATATTGCAATTATAAAATGGCATTTTTTATTTTTTATATTTGTATCATAACTATAATATTTAAAAATCTTTGTTCAAATAAAAAAATAAAATATTATGTATGTATGTATGTATGTATGTATGTATATATTACAACAACAATATCAAATAAGATAACGATAATCTACAAACTCTTTAAGACTTTGATGTTATTAAGAAAGAGAGAAAGTCTATTTTTTATCAATCAAAGATTAAGATCTAATATTGCACATGTAAGTTTTGACAAAATATCAAGGACATGAATCTAAAAAGACTTTTGAAAAAAAAATATATATATTCATATGTAAATAAAAAAGAAGAAAGAAGATCAAAAAGATATATAAATATTCTATTAGTATATAAACTAGAACAACTATTAAGAAGTAGAAAGAATAAGAAAGCTTTCAACTAAGATTAGAATACAAATCTTATTGTAGAAAAAAAAATATAGATATGGTCTTAAGTACGTCTCAATATTACTAGGTGATAAGAAAAGCATGTTGAAGCTTTCTAAAGACTATAAGGCTCATTGACTAACGATCCAATTTATAAAACGTTTCTATATGAACTTCTAAAAGATAAGAAACTTATAAAAGAAGTTTGCATGACTATGTGGCATATTTATGAAATATATATAAGGTAAATTTGTATCAAGAAAGCTACCTTAAATTTTCTTAAGAAAGATATTTTTCTACCTAATATATTTTTTTGTTATCTTTACTTATTAATACTTAATTCAATAATATTAATACCCAATATATAAAATAGTATTTGGTAGCAAAATCAATTACTTGACTCAATGATTAAAGATTATACAAGCTAAATAATAACTTTTATTTCTATTTTTATTTTATTTTATATTTGTAAAAATATTGAGTGATAAGAAAAAAATCATCTTACTTAATATTAATTAATGATTATTAATATAGTAATACTTGACTTATTTGTATATATATGTTTGGTTTTTGATTAAATATTTTCATGTTTTTATTATTAGATACTAAAAAAATTCAAAACAATATTAATAAATATTAGAGTTCAAACACACCTATTAATATTGACATGACTACATGATTTTTAAGTTTATATAATAAAGTAATATATATATATATTTAAAATCATATATTATTTATATATACATGTATTTTTTTTAGAAAAATTAAAATATATAATAAAATGAATTATTAATAGAAAACATAGATACCAATGTTATTGAAAATTAAAATGTTAAAATAATTAATGGAACTTAATTGTAGGTACCTGTGGCATCAAAATTTTATCTTCTAACTTGGATTTAGAACTACTATATATATCTAGAATAAATTATTTAAAATATGGAAGGAATTTAACCTACTAGTTAAAAGACTCGTGTTTCTAATTTATAATTAAGTTATTTTTGTAGTGGGTGTTGTATTAATCAAATCAATTACTACAACTTTTGTCATCATATTGATGACATTGAAATCAATCTAAATCAATCTAAATCTTGGAAATTTCAAGTAAAATCTGGCTACAATCAACTTCAACATTTAAATTGATAAATTCATGAATGAGTTTTAAATTTTACCACTGCAAGTTAATAGGACTGAATCTTGCAACTGAAAACTTGCTTTGAAGGGTATTCTTTTGTCTAAATGTAAAATAAGTTTTAAAAATCGAAATAAGACCAATAATTAGTCATTTCATCACACAATCATGTGATCAGAGCCATTTTCAGTGATAGAGTTTGATGCCATTGACTTTGGTGCTTTGAAAGTTTTATATTAAATACTCACAAATGGTTTACATATCATTGCTTTTGCTTCAATGCATTCTAATGCTGCAGAGTGCAATAATTCAGCTCAATGTTTTGATTAGTCAACACTAACTTAAAATATTAACATCATGCTCTGGTTTTGTTTGGCAAGCTAGTGATTAGATTAATTAATCACAACTCATTGTTGTAGTTAATTCAGTTACAACAGCTTGATAATTACATATACTGTTGATAGTAAAAGCGTTCTCAACCACATTCAAGTAAGTCAATACACATACTTAAATAATTTACACCAATATTAAGTTTACTGTATCAACCTGATTATTAAGTAACTCGTGTTGTTCTAATTGCAATAAATTTTAAAGTGATTCAACAGTGAAACTGGAATGAGATAACACCAATTTCTGAGATTCCCCTACTTTTTGTGATGGGATTGAAATTAGTAGTGACAAGTAATTTTACATCACTAAAATTACTTTCAAATTTAAAAGTGGGTTCATTGTGATCTGTATTCTTTTTTCACACAACTACAAAAGGTCACATGATTGTGTAATCTTATAAAATATTGGAGTGAACAAGCCCATAGATTGGTTTCCAATACAAATTGGTAGTATTAAATCATAGCAAGTTTTTTATTTTCATTATTATAAATATATATATATATATATATAGAGAGAGAGAGAGAGAGAGAGAGAAGGTTCATTCATTCATGTCACAACTGTAATGCAGAAAAACAAATAAAAAATAAATTGTGAACTCTATTATCAAGTGGTTTTCATTTCGATTACAACAAATCTGTATCTTTTTTTGAAGTCAATTAACTTTTTCTTTCTAACTTATACTCAAAAGCGTATTGCAATTGAAAATTTTGATAGTGGATTTATTAAGAAAATCTGCATTACTACCAATTCAAACAGAATAAATGTTCTTCAGTTATCCGAAAATCACTAGAATATGATATTTTGGAATCACAACATGCCAAAAAAGTTGGTATTGAATTTCAATCCATGACTCACTTGTCATGGATTGAAATTTGTAATTTCATACAATATTAATTGGAATACTTCTTCATGTATTGTAAAAATTTCTCACTACATCGTTTTCTCCCTTTCTTTTTCTTTTGCTCTTTGTTTTTATCTCTCCATCCATGATTAAATTATATATATATATATATATATATATATATGTTTTTTTCTATTTTCAAAGGTGAGCAGCTTATCTCATGTAGGCATCTTTCCTGTAGCTTCCATTCTCCCCTACCCCTCTTTTTTTCTTATCTTTTCTTTTTCTTACTTAAATGCTTTTGTGATGTGCATCTTTTGAATCCAAGGTATTACTTTTTTGTCCAGGTAAAATACAATAGAAGTCATTTAAATTATTAAAACCGATTGCAGGCAGTCAAATTATAATACATATATTTCTGCATTATTCTAAGAGAGAACAACAATAAGAACAAAAGTAACAATACCAACAGCAACAATGACATGATTCCTTAAATACATGTGTTCAAAATAAAAACAAAAAATCAATTCCTTTTTGAACCAAGCCCTAAAGTGTTTCTTTTAAATCCAACAACAATTGCATGAGCAATTATATGTGAACACCTCAACGACACAAAAAATACAAAATAATAATCAAATAAAAAAATATAAATAATAAAAATAATAAAAATAATAAAAACGAAACAAATATACTTACTCCACACTATTAACCAACTACCAATCCTCGTTTACTTTAAAAAAGGCTCTCTCGGAGTGCGAACCCACAAACTCAAACTGCTGTCTTACTTTTACTTTTTATATCCCTTTTGCCTTTTAGATAGGATGGAACCACAGCGCGTTACTTCGAAAAGCTCACGGGAACTTCATGGGGCACGCTCGCTGTGGTTGCGGAACACACATAAGACGCCTTCTGCCGCCGTATGCCGCAGTGTGACGCATTATGACGCCGAATGCCGCGCCGTGAGCCGTCAGCGACAATGGAGGGAAAGCCTGGACAATAGCAACAAGGGGGACTTGCGCCAGGGGCGCGACGAGGTGCGCGGCCTGAAGTCATCGCCATCGCATCGCATCGCATCGCAAAGCCCAGGGATTGTCGATCACGCGGCGCTATACTCTCTCTCTCACTCACTCACTCTTACACAACGCAACGAGACCGCTCGTCAAAACATCCGCACTCCAAACCCACGTCATTGCATTAATGGCCCAATTTCTGCAGTGCTTCGGTGTGTGTGTGTTGCACCGCTTCCCCCAACTTTGATTTTGAGCAGCTTTTGCCTTGAAACTTCATCGTGGAGATCTTAGTTTGGATATTACTGTCGTCTGACACTGGCCGGGATTCACCCTTTGGTTGAGTTGAGTTGAATCTTTCTCTCCCCTTTGTGGGTTCTTCATTTAACTTACCCCAGAGGAAAGGGGTTCATCGGCGAGAGTGGTTTGATTATCGCAGGGTTCGGTAGATCTCTAGAAAGCGGACCTCTGCGGGGAGGGGTTGGACCACACCGGGGGGGTTAAATTTGGGCTTATTGACTGAATCCTGGTGCTACAGCCTGCCGTCCTGCTTCATCATGCGCCTCGTTCGCCCGCCTGCAAATTCATCGAGTGCGTCATAATTTTTTCGTTTATGGGCTTGTTTATTAATATATGTATATTGTTTCTTCCTTTTACTTTTCCTCTTTTTTTCCATGTTATGTGCTGTGGTGGCACTGGCGAGGTTGCTCATGATTCAACTTGGGCTCCTCTCTGATGAGCCCCGCTTTCCTTAGGGTACCCCCCGACCGAGACCCGTCTGTCTTAACGCCCCGAGGATTGGCGCAACCTCCCTGCAGACGCGAGGTGGTGATCATTAGTAGTGGCTGGTTCTAGAACAGGTCCAAGCCCGTTGTTTGGTGGGTGGGAGGGTGGAGGAGTGCGAGGAGCGGAGCAGTTTGCGAGCGCTGTGCTAGTTGGGGGTTAGATCGGAGGTAGCTGTGGGTGCAATCAGGGCAAGGCGCATGCCCCGACAGAGTCTTGGTTACGTGGAGAGAGCGAGCGAGCGAGTGAGCGAGAAAGAGAGTGAGGGGTTCCAGCAGGATTGATTCCTGCTATCACCCCTGAATTTTTTTGGTGAGTATCTACTTACGCTCCTTTCCTGCTCTTGATGTGGTCTTGTGATGAAGCACAGAGACGTGTCCGATGTTGTGGTGAAGAGCACCGGCTACAGCTCCCACGAGCTGGCTGACTCGAATGCTTGCTCTGGTCGAGAAATGTATCACGGACGAGTACCGACTTGGGTCTCGACGATGTCGAAAATCTGGAGATCATCGTAATAGAGAGAGAGAGCTTGGATTGTGAAGCCAGTATAGTTTTTCTTTTTTCGTCTCGATATTGCAAGAAGTTTCGTGAATCGTCTCAGGATTGCAAGAGGTTTCGTGAATCGTTTTGGGTAGTTTAAGTGAAGGTAGGCTATCTGATGTCCTCTGAAGATGAATGCCGGGTAGACACTGTTCATTTGCATCCCTTCGCAATGTTTATCTAAGGCGCTCTGGGTCGGAGAGTATGCACATTCTAGTTGAATCTCTGATTTCAAAGAGTATCTGAGCGGAGAGGGAACTATCGTCCCGAGGTTAATTTACAAGGCTGCTTTGGTTGGAGCATTGGTTACAATTCATCTAGTGGCCTATTCACCAAGTGAATCTTATACAGGAATTCGTGAAGTGAACTAGCGCAATGGCGATGCGACATGACGAAGACGACGAGGAAGAGGAGCTGTTGCAGAGAGCTCTAGCGGAGCAGGCAGCGAGGGAGAGCTCCCATCGCCCGGCCCCGCCCGCACAATCTCCGGCCAGGTCGCCCATGCGAGGTGGGCACGTTCCGTTTGTCAAGTCGCCCATGCGGGCTGCGCATGTCCCTGTTGTTAAATCCACCATGCCCAGCAAGCCAGCTCCGCCGGCTAAGGTGCCACCGAGTAGAGCACCGCCACCGCCCAGCAAGCCACCCCCGCAGGCGCACCAATCCTCTGGACCTCCCAAGAGAGTGCCGCCGGGTCCTCAGCCTCCGAGTCGAGCGCCCCCTCAACCTCCCCCAGTTGAAGAAGACGACGATGACGAAGAAGTTGAGATGTTAAGCATCTCCTCAGAAGATGAAAGCCCGCATGGGCGAGGGACAAGGCCTGCACTCACTAAGCCGAGAGCACAAGGTGGAGAAGATGAGGAATGGGACGATGATGACGAGCCTGCGACCTGGAAACCTGGTTACAAAGCTGAGGTCAGTGAGGCCCAGTGCTTGCTTTCAGATTCACAGTGGGGGGGCTGCCTCTGCAGTGTTTTGTTTTCATAACTTTGCAAAACTACAAACTTAGGGTTCTGAGCTTGCCTTTGTACGCACTATGTCAATGTGATTGTTACCAGCTGGAAAGGCGTGTGCGGGAGCTTCGAGAGACGAGAGGGGCATCGGCTACCGTTCAGTTGCAGAGAGCAAGAACAGTAGTGGATCCCGCGCTTTCTCGAGGCGATGAGTTCATCGACCCTTTGGGACTTGGGTGAGTTATTAGATCATATGTCTTTTTGAGAATTTTTAGGGACCGCATGTTTTGTGTTTTGTGGCTGGACCTTGACAACTGGCGTGGTTTGCTGCAATGCAGCGTCATAGATGTGCAAACTTTGACACTCGTTCCTAAGATTACAAGGAGTCAAGACAGCTCTCCTGGAGTATCTGCAGCTTCTTCTGACAGAGGAAGCGGCAAGAAGGGAGGATTTCTTCGCAGTCGGAAGTCCAAGGAAGCCCCATCTGGCCCAGCCGCTGTTGCTGCTTCTCGAGATGATGATCATATTTCTGTATCTCAGGATGAGGCTCCGGTGATCAGAGATCCAGTTCTCAGGGGTATCTATCTATCCATTTATTTTGGATGTCCTTTCTGATCTGTTTTTATTGCTTCAGAAAGGATCCCAGGTGTTGTTTTCAGCTTGTTGGTGTATTCCCTCTCGCTTATTTTGGCTTTCAATGAGAAGAATGCTGATGAGTCTCTTACACAGTGTTTCTATTTATTAACCAATCTTTTAAATCTGTGGGGTGAAAGAGTTGATGGGTGCATTATCTAAGGTTCACCATCTATCTGCTGTGCAGAAAAGCTTTTATACTATTCTGAGAAGTTCGACCCGAAGTTCTTTTTGTCGCATGTGCATCAGAACACTTCCGCTCTTCATCTAGAACAAGCAGAGCAGGGACTGAAAGAGGATCTGAAGCTACGTAACAACGAACTGAAGAAGCTCGTCAAGGAAAATTTTGACTGCTTCATTTCGTGCAAAAACACCATTGACGGTAAGTGCTTTTCCAGTTGTGGTGGTGTTGCAGTTTTGGGAGTGACTTTCAGGTATAATCATGTCATTAAATGACGATAATTTAGTTGTAAGGTTGGTGTGCGACTTGGCAGACATACACACGAAGTTGCAGCAGATAGAATCTAACACAGAGGGAGGAGGCACCACGCACCTCAGTCATTCCATCAAGCAGGTTGAGGATGTTGCAAACCGTGCATTTTCACCTCTTCTGGAGCGTCAGGCTCAGGTCGAACGTATTCGATCTGTGCAAGGGATGCTGCAAAGGTTTAGAACTCTTTTCAATCTGCCGAGCAGTATCAGAACTTACATCAGCAAGGGAGAGTATGAGCAAGCCATTCGCGAATACAAGAAGGCCAAGAGCTTGGATCTCTACTCTAATGTGCGTGGCTGTGTTTTTGTTGAATCAATTGTTAAAGAATGTTACATGTTCATTTTATCGCGTTGGCATCTTTGAGATTTCGAAGATATAGTGCATCCTAGCTTATTTGGGATGGGTATATCTCCAGGTGGGTATTCTTAAGAGAGTACTAGAGGAAGTGGATAAGATCGTGGAAGAATTCAAGCAAACCTTGTACAAGTCTATGGAAGATCCTCACATTGAAGCTACCCAGGTAAGAATGAATTCTAGTGTACCCAATTGATGAGCAAGATTATGAGCAACGTACATGAACACTTCATTCATGAGATTTATACACGGTACAATTTTATGCTTAATGCACTGGGGTGGCAAACTACCTTATCGTAGTTAAGAACTGTGAGCATGTGCTTTGAATGTGATTCTTCTTTGAATAGTCCCAGCATTTGAATTGCATCAAATCAAATTATCTGGGACAAAATATCATGTTGACATCAGAATTGGATGTATCTAGTTGGAGACTACTATCAGACTCTTGTTCGAGCTAGAGCCACAATGTGATCCAGTTTGGCATTATCTTACCGTACAGGTAGGCCAACAGTTCCTCTTTGTGCTTTTGCAGTATTTACCTACTAGTTAAACCTGAAATTTTTCTTGTTTGAAGAATTCATTACATGTTCGTGGACATGCATAGGTTGTGGAAACTGTCCTATTCTGTGATACTCAAAAATATTGGGTCTAGTGTTCATTCCATCATGTTTCTGGATGTGAAACTAGTGGTTCTTTGTAGTTGTTAACACTTCATAGAGCATATTTATCTTGGGCCTATTACAGGATCGGAAGATACGTGGACTGTTGGAAGGGTGCAGTCTTGAGCATGACGCCCGTATGGAAGCCTTTAATGGCCGAGTACGAGATCGTGTTTTATCAGACGCTCGTTGGAAGAAGCTTCAAGTTCAACAAAATAAGGCGGTATGTTTCATCGTTTTTTGGTTTTTCTTTGTGATTTCCCCTTTCTTTGGTACTGTTGTAATAACACGAAACCTTTCTCTTGAAATCTGATCTGTTCGAGTTCCTGATTTACGTCCAATTTAAAGACAAATTCCACGCTGCTCTTATGATCCTTAGCATGTAGCATCCCTCTCAGCAATACAGAAGTGCATTGAGGCTTTCCTATTAGTCGTGAGCATTCACCTTCCATATGCTATTGAGCTGGCAGGTTTCTGATAAGTTCTCTATTTGTTTCAGTCTGATGTAGATTTCTCCCTGTTGCTTGGAGACAATGAAAAAGAGGGAAAAGAAGTGAGTTTTATGGACACCTCAAGCAACGAGTCAGATGCTTTAATTGGGCGTTTTATTAGAAGGCTCACTATGGTCGTTGTGCACCATGTGCCCCTCTTCTGGAATCTCGCTCTTTCTGTATTCACTGGAAAGTTTTTAGCGGTAAGTGTTCTACTGCTATTTCGTGAAGCTGCTTTTCTATATCAACTTCTCTATATCGTGTTAGTATTGGTCAATACAATATTTAATCTACGTAATATATAGCTTTTCAACTGACGTTTTAATTTGCTGGGAGCACAGGGAGCAAGTGCAGTTGGGAGAAGCTTGTCAAGAAGTAGTGCTAACTCACTTCCTCGAGAAGGTGGATCAGAGAGAGAACCAAATACATCACACACGTTGGATGAGGTGGAGACGATGGTCCACTGTATCATTTCTCTTTATGAATCGAAAGTAAGGGCCCCTCTGTTTCATTTTCACCACTCAACAGTGGTTTTCCACCAATCTGTTCAGCTGTGTTTTCTAGCCTTTTATGATAATGGTTATTGCTTTTACCCATCCACATATCATGTTGCAAGCTGTTGAGATCTTGGTGGATCTGCAGGTGCAGACTGCGTTTCTGCAACTCGCAGAAGCGAATGTGCTACGTCCATACATGCGGGACGCAGTTGCTGAAGTATCAAAAGCATGTGCTTCTCTTCAGTCAAATGACGCTGCCCCAAGTAGCGCTGGTAAGCATTTTTCTGTACATGTTACTGGGACAAATAACCTTACTCCATAAATTGAAGAATAATTGGACTCCTCTACGTTATATTGAGGTTTCAGCTCCCTTGAGTGCAGCTAAGGTACGTCGTCAATCTTGCCAGGCATGTACTCATCTTCATCTTACGTGTTGAAAATGGCAGTGCAAATGCTGCTGGCATTGCGGACAGAGGTCACTCGGGTGTTTGTACTTCGCATCTGCTCTCTCATGCACAACGCAACCTCAGAGCTTGTGATGGACGAAGATTGGGAGCCTGTTGCCGCAGTTCAACGAATCTCCTCTCCATTTGCAATTTCAAGCCTACCGCTTCGGTTTCAGGAGTTGATGGTTTCGTCCTTGGATCACCTTACTGAGTATGTTTCATCCTCTCATGTGTTTCATCTTACAAACACTGTGTGAATGCACTCATTGCACACTTTTAATATGATCTGGATTGATTAATATCATTCTTCCCCTGAACGTTGTCAATGACTCTGTACTTGTGACTTCTATCTTCTTATTTAGAGAACAGATAACTTCCAATTTTCCGCTGCCTGAAAAATTTGTGGGGGCTTTTTTCTGGGCATGGATTCAGGATGCTGGAACGGTTAAGCAAGGACGCATCCCAGCTTCACGAGGATATGATACAACAATTGCATCAGATGCAAGACACTATTCGTTATACTTTCTTTGAATGCTTCTTAGCTCTTGCTGGTAAGTTTTGTCTTCTTCTAAAATAGAACATGTACATAGATTGTTTTCGGAACCATCAGAGTACGTAATTCTTTGGGTCACAAGTACGTCAGTTCTTGCGCTATTATCATAAAGAAATAGAGCGTCAATAGCAAAGTGTGCCAATTGACGAATAATTAGCAATAAGAATGTGACCCCCGCTGGATCCTAATTTTCGCTCTGTGGTCTTCACTGATGCAGGAAATTTAGAGAAACTAGCAACTGAGTTGTCTTATTCAACGACTTCAGACCATGGGCCAGAGGATCAGGAGAGACAATCGTGGCATGATAGGTTCGTGGGGCTCGTAGCTGGAGTGGAGATCACTAGCACCCATCAACGCTTACTTATGGTGCTCAGCAACGTTGGGTTCTGCCACTCCACTCTTCTTCCGGAGCAAACACGGAAATACGAACATGTTTGGATTTATGAAGGGTAAGATTCTGAGGTTTGACCGCAACCACGTACATGTCTTTTTCACAACGCTCATATTATTGAAATCTCATGAAGCTTGTCTGCAGACTCTGTTGAAGTCAAATGCTTCTGTGCTATGTTTTTAATATCTTTCTTTACTGTGGATCGTTGATGCACCTTCGCAGATCAGATTCCACTATTAAAGGAGGAAAGATGGCCACCTATGACGAAGTATCGAACACTCTATCTGAATTAGAAAAGAAGGTTCTCAATCACTACAACGTTGCGAAGGTGGGTATGCGCCGAGCTTTGTCTGCGAACATTTGAAACACTAAAGCATTGCCTTGCCTTCTGTTGGTACCAGCCTTTGAAGCTTCTTGAGTTATTCTGTTCAACTGGGAGGGTTATACTGACGATTGTTTTTGAAATGCAGGCTAGAGAAATTCAGAAAGCAGCAGAAGCATTCCTGCTGTTTGATGGCAGTCAATGGGCTTCCACTCCTCCAGTGAAAGTAAGCCTTTGCATCTCTACAGCCGGATTGAAGTCTAAATGTTGTACATTGTAATCCTCTATTTATTATTACTTCAAGGATCGTATGTTTCCATGTCCGCGCAATTTTGTTAATTGTTTAGCTCTGTCTTTTGTATGTAGATGACTCACTGACAGTGGCTATTAAATTCACTGCTATCAGGGTTTCAGATACTCGTTGATGGAGCTAATGCATCCCTTGGTCACCACTCATGCGGAGGTTAGCATTTTCTCTTTCAAAGAGATTTACATGTATAACCAACGCTCTCTTGGTTTTGTTATTTTGTGAGGTATAGCACTGGCCTGTTCCTAGTCTTTCGTTACCATTGATGGAGATGCTTGTTTTGTGACCACTCCATGATTGGTGTGAATATGCAGGTGTTTGCAGGGGCAAAACCATTTTTGGAGAAGGCCATCAAATCTCTCGTGGAAGCTCTAATGGATTCGCTAGTAGCCATTTTTACTGAAAACAGGGCCAATGCTTTTCAAAGGTTTGACATCAATGGTTACTGTCAGCTAATGCTCGAGGTTTGTTGTTCATTCCTGTGCAAAATGACTTTTCACTGTTGAGCTTTCAGGGTTGAGACTGCATTGCACTTCTTTGCATCCGTCGTTTGAAGCGGAAGAGTTTGCTGTCATATGGCACATTCCCTGCAACGTTACAGCTCCAAAATTTACTGAGTTCGATTCGGTCCTTATCTACTATTGTATTTCCTTGACATGGTCAACTATGATTTATTTTGACTCAGGTGGAGTATCTTCAAACCGTTCTAGAAGGTTACCTGAGCACACAGGCCTACGAATTGGCTGGAAACTTCCGTGCCGCACTTCTAGAAAAAGTCATGGAAACTGTCGCTGAAATGACGGACCAACAGAACCACGGCCGCGGTTCCCTTCGAGGGGGAAGCCAAGATGGGTACGATTACGGCGGAATGACAGCCGAGGATTTACAAGTAACACTCCAACCCTTCAGAATCCTCCTAGCACCAAGAAATTTAACTCTCTTACACACTAGATCACAGAAACTCAATCACTAATCCCAACTGATGCTGCAATTTTCTTCCGCTGTGTTTCCACAGGGCCTCGCACAGGATCACATCCAGAGCTACTTACCTGCAGAGCTCAAAAGGACTCGGTTGAACGTGCTCTGCTTCATGGAAGCTCTAGAAGGCTACAACGCAGGGAATCTAAACGGCGGTAGGCGGGGGTCCCAACCATTTCACAAGCAACGGAACCCATATGGAGGAAACGCGTCTGGTCGACGAAGTGGAGGATCCAGCCTGACGGATTCCGAGTCAGGGAAGCCCACGGGGGGATTGCCGCCGCCGATTCCGCACTCGGGCGTGGACTCACCGAGAGCGGATCGGTACATGCGCTTGAGGCATGATCCCAGGCGGCCCTCCTTCCGGGGCAACGCCTATGTAGATAACGATGACTTGAGATAATTTAGTGCGACGCCGTGCGCAATTTTTTGACGCAGTGGGGTGGGGTGGGGGTCGGTGGGTGATTGGGGCTCGGAAAGGCAATAGCTGGCTGTGTGTGATATAGATCCTATGTATGATATAGAGGAGAGCTCCTCGAGGCCGAGTCTGTAACGCTGGTTGATAGATATCCTTGGTGATAATTTTATGTCTCAGCGGTTCTGGGACTCATTTGCTTGCGACTGTCGTCACCGCACCACACCATAGCTTGTCGCCTGCTTGTTTACACTCTCTCTCGCTATTCCTCTCACTGCAACGCTACAAAATCCATGCTCATTTGCCGGACCATGGTTTTGTGTGGCTGTTGTTCTCTGTATTGTGAGGCGTGGGTTGTTGTGAACATTTGAACCCATCCCACCCACACTGCCTTGGTTGCAGCTCCAAAGTAGTTTAGGGGAACCGGGATTGAGTTTGAAAACCCCCGCCTCGGAAGGGGCTCCCTTTTGGGAGTGTGTTGTTCAAGCTGTAGAGAGCCTCAATGGGAGGTGAGCGGGGGCCACCTCGCCATTCCATGATATGATGTGACACAATGGTGAGCTGGATTTGCCACGTCATCCTACGTGGGGGCCTCCCTTCCTCGTCATTCCAGCTGGCAGCCAGCCTGGATGACAGCTACGCAATGTCGGTTTGATCACTATGTTTCCTGAGAACCAACGATCTGTTTTATTGTCTGTCTTTCTTTTCTTTTCTCCTTTATTTTCTTTTGCAAATCGGTAATTTCTATATATTTTTCTAGATGGGTCAAAAGGCTATGCAAACTTGCCTACAAGTTTTTCACCTTAAATAAGTTCCTAGAGAATTGTCCTACAACTTGGATGCTTGGCCCACATGCCTTGTGGTCCTTAAGAAGCTTCCATATGTCATTCTTCTCACCTAATTATATTGAGACAAGATTGAAACCATATTCACTCTTCTCTATGTTATAATTTGTACTCCATTCTTGGTTGGAAGTTCTCAAGTAGTTTTTCTACTTCCCAATAGCTACTTCAATATATACTATGGTTGCATAATTGTATCTCTTCTTAAGTTTCTTCTTTCTTTCTTGGTTGTCCATGAGTATATTGTATTTTTAAAAGTTTTTGAGTTTGTGTCATTGATAGTTTGTCAAAACTTTCTCATATAACATTAGATCTTCATCTTTCTTTAATAAAAGATAGACTATCTCTCTTTCTTAACAATACCAAAGTGTTTTTGAAGTTGTGGATTATCTTCTTCTCCATATATATTGTTTTTTATTTTTATTTTTATATATTGCCTATTTATCCATAATTCCTTTTATTGTGTAGCGACTCTTTAATTTTTATGGTCATGGCATGATTGATAGAAATAAAGCATGTTGTACTACAACTTTGGCAACAAATAAAGAAGTTGATGCTTGCTTAGCATCAACTTTGTTTATCACTTCAACCAACATTAAATACACCTGCTTAAGAAGGCATGAAGGTATTAGGAATTTCTTCAACAATTGTACTAGTTCAAGTAGGTCATAGAAACATAATTGCATTTGGTAAAGAACCAAGAGTGATTTTTTTAAAGAAGTTTGATGGAACTAATCCAAATTTCAAGAATTCATCAACAAGGTACAACTTTTTTAACAAGGACCAACCACTGAGTTATCCAACCAAAGAAATTAAAGTAAAATCAATTAAAATATTATTTAGTAGACAATGTTTTAATTACTTTGTATCAATTTATGAAAAAACAAGATCTGATATTGGAGAACTTAAAGACCTTTTTAACAAAATTTAGAACTATGCATGGAAAATGCAATGAAGATGGTACAATAATATCTTTTGTCAACTTTTCTCCATGTTACATGGGATGCTGCAATTGTTGCACCACTTGGTCACTAGTTGTCTTGCTCCACCATAAAAAAATGAGATTTAGAATAGAGAAATTGGTGTGTGTTTATATATGCATCATAATTTTGACAACTAGCAATTGGCATCGAATAGTTTAATGTTGTATTTTTTGTCAAGTTTGTCCAACAGGACGACCAGAAGTATTCGGACCGCTGGTCAAAAGGAAAAGAGAACCGACCGACGTGCGGCGACCGAATCGTTGAAGAAGTGCAAGCAGGAAGGCAGGCTGTGCCCGTGAGGCCGAGGGCGTTGCAGGATGCGAGTTTGGTCGATGGCCATGGACGCGTCGATGGCCGCCGATTGAGGGAGCCTGGAAGTCAGCAGCAGGAGCAGCAGCAGCGTGATGAGTGCAGAATGGAGATGACTGGGTTCACATGCGGTGGGCGGTAAGAAAGGAAGGAAGGATTCAGCAACGGAGACAGGCAGGATCATCAAGCGGGGGGTGGTGGTGGGGGAGAAATGGAGAGTGCAGGGAGTGCCGGGCGAGAGTTTGCGGAGGGGTGTAAACTGCAGATCAAGACCACGCTGGGCGATCACATCGAGGGCCATGTCTTGACTTATGACAGGAGCACCAACATTGTGGTCATTCATATCCTTTCATACTCCCTCCCTCTGGTTTTGCATTTCTTGGAACCCCGGGAATTGGAGGTGGGACGGGAATTTTGTGGAATTGGTGAATATTAGGGTTTTCTGATGTGGGTATGGCTTTCAGGGTGGCATGAGGGAAAGTGGGGTTTATGATTTGGTGCAGTTTGATTCATACAGCACGGAGTTGTAAGTTATGCTCGTGTTGTCGTCCCGTTGGGCGTTCTATTCCGGAGATTGTGCTGTTTTGTAGTGTCCCACTGTTGGGATCTTGGTCGCTCTTTCTTTGAGCTTCTCGCGAATTGGAGTTAAGGGATGTGTGAGTTCATGGTGGAATTAGTTAGCTGCTCAGAATTACTCACAGTTCAGGAGTTTTAAGTGACAAGAATCGTGTCGTATTCGAGGAGTGGATTTAAGAATTCTGTTTCTTTTTAACGTTATTTCATCGTTTCCCATGCTAGCTTTGCTGGTAGGTTTTCATGGGGCTCCTTTATCTAGAGTTTACTTACTAATGGAGCGGCTACGGGAACTACTTTAGTAGCACGTTTGCTTATAACGATGAGTCGATTGTAAATAGAGATGCTATCCTTGACAGCTTTTGAACAGGAAGGAGACAGCGTCGATGGTCGCCGGAATTTACGATTTCTAAAGACGACACTGGTCAAGGATGTAAAATTAGTGGGTCATGTACAGGATGCTTTTGATTTGAAATATTCACAGACTGATATGAAGAGTCTGCGGGACCGTGAAGAAGCTGCTATAAAGTATGCTCACCCCTCTTACATTGCTGAAGTTCATAGTAGTAGAATGGATCACGTATTCCAATTTTGAATTTAATCGAAAACTTTTCCTGTTCACTTAGATTAGATTTTAGAATGAGGTCATGATGGTTATCACAATAGCAGTTGTCTGGCTTCGCACCATTTTAATGGCAGCACGAAGTCAGTTAGAGTAGCTTACATTTGGTGTGTCGTTGAAAGCATGCAAACCTATTAGTCTTGGCAATATGCAGGGTAACATCATAAACTTGAACTAAGCTATTTTTATGCTATGTATGAGCTGAGTTTTGAGGTGCATCATGAATTAATTAGGCAAGCAGAGGCAGAGGCTGAAAGGATTGGTGTGGGAGTTTCCACGGAAGCGCAAGATATTTTTGATGCTCTTTCTAAGACGTAATTTCCTCAAACCATGATGAATATGCATTTCTGTCGAGCAATTTTTTAGGTCCTGTTCGTACTCATATCTGCTAACTTGTTGTTCAACATTGTGCTTTATTATTGCACAATACCATCGAACTGCCTTTTCACTGAACTAGTTTTACGGTGTTGTGTATATCAGGCTACCGTGTAGGTGGGATAAGACGACCATTCTAGTGATGAATGATGTGTTTGTCAAGCACCCCTATATACCTGAGAGTGTCATTGGTGGTGCTCCTGCTGCCAATGAACGCGTTCGCAAAGTTGTAAGTTCCTCTCTCGGTTTGAACTGTAGGGGAGCTGTATCCCTAACTCAGTTTTTTCTGGGTAGGAGTAGTTGCTTGTAAAGGTTCATAAATATGTGCAGATCTTTATCTTATGGTGACTACCACCTTTACTCCAGACCTCTGCAGAAACCTAGATTACGTTTGCTAATTTTATGCTAGCTCTTTTTGACGCTAAGTTTTATTGACGACTGGGTGATTTTGGTATCTTATTGAAGCTGGAAGAGGAGAGGAAGCGGTTGCAAAATCGAGGAGTTGTACTGTGACATAATGTTGCTGTGGTTGACCCCCTAGATCGCCGAAACTTTAGCAATGGAGGATTGTATAGAACATCTTCCAACTAGTGGGAGCATCAAGGTGCACAATTTTTTTATGTATTATCTGCGCAGCCTGTGCCAGTGCAAAAACAGTTCTGTGAAAGATTGATTGTGTCATTCTTGGTAATTTGAATCGTCAGGGCTACAGCACCAGCCGCGATGGCTTTGTTGACCTCAAATTGACTCTGTTTGCGTATGCGGGTTCTGTTGTCTGTTGGGGATTTCTTGTCATAAAGCTCACATAGTTTCGCCATTACAGTATTGAATGTAGGTGCAAATGATAATTGAATTCGGAGAGACAATTCCATTTCTTTGCGCTTGAGCAGGCTTCTTCAACTTAGTCTTCTTTTTAAGAAGTGTTTGGTAAATAGCCCATTTAGGTCGAAAGATCTCGTTTTGTGGATGCTTATATTTCTTGAAATTAACACCTAGCGGAAACATGTTCAGGCTTTGCGTATGGCCAGCTTGTTGCCGCTCTCAAAAAACGTGGTTTGCTTTTTAATGTGAAAGGTGAAGTTTTAGAGGAGATGCGCAATGTTTTTCGATACACAGATAGTGTAAGTGTTTCGATAAGTTGATGCACAGATTTTTATTTAATATATTTTCGGTAATGTCAGCGGGATTATGGTAAAGATGGTTTTGAAGTTGTGGCTTGCCACGTCTTGTGAAGCTGGGATTATTGATGATCAGATGTTGGGCTTAGTTATGCTGCCAGATACCACTTAGGAATTATCCTCCCAGCAACTATCCTGTAATCAATACTGCTTCAATAGTTGATGTATTTCAATCATAGAGATCCAAACCGCAATTTTACACTATCCGTTGTCCGTGTGTTGGGGGCACTGCTGTAACAAAGATCAACAGTTACAGAGGGCTTTTCATATTCATGATAATATTATCTAATTGATGCCAGTGACAAGAAGCATACCATGTGCAGCTCATATCAGATAGGAGTTTCAATTTTTCGTTGACAGAACCTTGGATAAGCTTTGATCTCACTCTCACAAGACAGAATCCTCCTCAGTCAGAAAAGAAATGGAACAAAAACTACAGCGTCTTGCCAACAAACAGGGATCAAGATTGACATTAACTGATTGATTTTTCATGCATGTTGCATGCTATTTTTATTTTTTTCTTTTTCGATTGGAATTCTAGAAGCACAATGTGGTTCCACCACAGTTAAGTAAATACTAAAACTCTTTTTGAAAAGTTTTAAAATAAAATCAAAACAAGATAGAACTGAATGAGAACCAATTAAGTAGAGGAAAAATAATAGCATTTTTAGTATATCAAGTAGTAGTTTGCAATCAGACAATTCGTAAAGAGAAAATATTCTTTTCAATATTCATTTAACGTTAAAGGGTTTAAATGATTCCATATTTGTATATAATGTGAAAGTTTTGGATATTTTAGAATGTAATTGATTGATAAATCAAACCCTTGATGATTATTTGTTATAAATAGTCACTATTATTTTTTTAATAATATTTTTGGTTACATTAATCAAATATTATAAAAAAAACAAGTAAATTACATCTAATAATATATATATATATATATATATATAATCAAACACCAATGTTAGTTTGGTTCAAATAGTTTTATAAGGTTTAAAAGATTGTTTTTAAAACTTTCCTTTTTTGCTTAAGAATTATATAAAATATATTAAATTTAATTAGTATATAAGTTTAGAACAAAAAATATTTCTAAATAACATTCAAAAACCTATCTTTACTTTGATAATTTAATATTATTTTAATAAATGCTTGCTTTCAACTTTTAATAGTATTTTTAAGTTATTTTTCATTTATAGACTTCAAGTTTTCCATTAGAATTTTCTTGTCAACATATTTTGAATAATTGATCATTTAAATTATTTTTTAATTTTTTTACCATTATAAGTTTTATTTATTACTAAAAAAAAATAAAAAATAAATTGTTGTATTATAATCTTGAAAGACTAATAATATAGAATATTTCAATACAATCTTTTTATATACTTTAGAGACTTGAAATCAAAAAATTGTTAAAAGAAATCAGTTCATGCCAAATGTATCCAACATGATTATTTTTTATAGAATGGTAGCTACAATTTTCAACCACAATGAACATGCAGTTTATTAAACAGTTAAACCAATTAAATTGTAGTTAACTATTCAGCTATTATTGTTGATTCTGTAGCAAAAAAATACTATACATAATACATTTTTCTTTTTTTATTGGCACATTAATACTGTTAATAGTATATTATCAATTCTCTATACAAAAGTAGTTGTAGTAAATTAAGAATATATAGTTTTTTAGGTTCTCTGCACATTTTTTGAGCAAATAATCAATCCCCTAAATAATTCCAAAAAATATCTACATTGTCAAGAGGGAAGCATAATATTGTATAATGGCATCCAATCAACATGATTATTAAATTGTAAAATTTTGTTTAACCATCTAAATAAAAATACACAAATTTTCAACACTTAATGGCAATCGGAAAGGACATCAATTTTTAAACTGTAACTATTTTACAAGCCAATTATATACACACTTTTTTGCATAATAATACTTATTTATGTTTATTTTTATTTTTATTAGCTTAAAATTATTTTACTAGCAGATTTATATACTACTATATATATTATATTTCAAAATATATTACTTAATCAATTGCAAGATCAAAGCTTCTTATTATTATTTCGAAAGCCAAAAAAATTTAAGTCGTATAAATTAAAGTAAATATTACTAATTTTTGGCTTTTGAAAAAAAAAATTGCAAATTTTAAATATTACTTGTAACACCCTTTCACAAGTTCTTTTCATGACAAGTTGTTGTGATTTGTTTCGGTTTTCATAATCAATTAAATAGTAAGAATAATAATTAAATAAGAAACAATCATAGATGTCAAATGTACAATATTATTTTTATAAAAAATAATATATACATGTAATACATAGCAAATGACAAGATTTTTTCTTCTAATTTTATCATTATATATGGTGTTAAAAAAATATGCAATCTTAATCATTAAAAACATAAATTGATCTTTACAAATCAAGCATGTATGTTCATAAGATTCATGGAATTCTTCAATATATATATATATATATATATATGTATATATAGACATAAATATATAAATATTAATTTTTGCAAAATCAATACTATTTGTAGATTTGTAAATAGTCTCTTGTAACATAATCATTGCTTCATCATATGTAGTAGTTACATATGTGTGTGTTGTTTAGTGATACGCCCCATACTATATTAAATGTGTTGATATATATATATATATATATATTCGTGGAAATGCATGTTGTTGGCCACAAAAAAACATTATAAACTACTTGTTGTAAATTAATCTTTTGTTTGAAGCTTCATATGACGTGAAACTCCATGATACATGTTGTCCCACATTGTGGTGCTTTTGAGCTCCATACCTAGTGTTCTTCATATTTGCTTCACTTTTGATGAAAACAATGAGATATGCAGCTAATTAGAGATGGTTTTTGTCTCCTCTAGTTTATCTTCTAATTTGTTATATATATATATATATATATATATACTTATAAGTGAAAAATAAAGAATGATCATACATAACTCCATGTGTTAGAAGATGATATGATGAAAGTCATGAAGACATGATTGAATATTCATACCCATAAGAATTCAAATTTTCAAAATCACAACCCAGTTCTTGTGTTTTAATAACCTATGTATGAAACTTATTTAACTGGAATTTAATTAAGTATAAAGTACTTTTAATTTTTAGATGATCCACCGACTCAAAGAAAATTGAAAAAAGAAACATATCAAGGGCAACAAAGATTAATGTTGATCAATAATGTTTAAAACTACACGTTTTTTTTTTTATATTATTTATTATTTTTAAACTTTTTACCTTCTATAATTTTTTTTTGCTTTTTCATTTTGATAATTATGATCTGGAAAATAAAGCAATCGTTTATTACTTCTATTTTATAAATATATAAACTACTAAAGCTTATTCAAACTTCACATCAAAAATTTGTTTCATGTACACCATAATACCTTACATAAGCTATACAAATGAATAGTCATCACACAGATCAGAAAATTTCTAAACGTGAAATAAAAAATAATTCTAACCATAATATATATATATATATATATTTTTTCAATTGCAAGGATAGTATACTATCCAGATATATTAGTTAAAATTCTGACCTTGAATAAGATCAATAATATTTTATACTTCAATGACTGTAGCATAATTGTATGGTTGGTATTGTTTCTTTTTGCATGAAACATTAAAAACATATATATATATATATATATATATATATGTACACATACATACATACATGGTGGCAACTTATACTCAATAATTAAAACAGTGCTCTAATATGATTAATCACTTTTATTAAACTTACAAAACGAGGACAGTAAATGTTTCAATCTGAATAACAATACTTAATTTGAATGGTCCACGTAGACGAAGTGGGGAGAGACCTCCCGCCAATTCCTCTCCCCAAAAAGGTCTACCTGGCAGCGCGGGCCCTACCATTCCCGGGCTTTATTGACAAGGTAACTTTCGGAAACTTTCCAGCGGAGCTTTTTCGGCGGCGGAGCTTTTGCGCCTGCCATGGCGAGGACGCTGCTGCTGCTGCAGCATCGAGGCCATGGCAGCTTCGAGGCAGAAATGTGCCGCGACCTCACGTCGACGAAGGCGTCGTGGTGCTGCAGCCACAGCAGAGAATCGCATCGTGCTTGCCGGCTGATGATTATGCGGCTACAGTCCTCTCGCCTTCACAGCTCATTCCCACTCCTTTTTCGCAGATGTTAGGGTTTCAGTTTTTCTCACTTACTAGGTTGTGTGTTAGAGTAAGTCAAATCCTCGGATCGGTTGGGAAAAGTGCGCACGATTTGGACTCTCTGTCTGCTTCATTCACCCTTTGAAATCGTGGTATTTGGATCCGTGTCTTCTCTGTCTCCGAGAGTCTAAGGGATTGGACCGGGATGGCAAGAAGCGGTTGGTGATGATTCCATTAGAGTGGCGATGCGTTTTGTGGAACGATCGCTTTTTACTTGCGCGATCTCTGAGGTTGCTTGGAAGGTCGATCGGTGTGGGAAATTTTGTCGGTGCAGATGTCAGGTAAGAGCTTCTTCGGGTGGTTCGTGGATTTGTTCCTCAGTTGGAGAGAGAGAGAGAGAGAGAGAGAGAGAGAGAGAAGTGGGCATTGTTGTTCTGATGGTTGTGGTTGCAGCTCATACATAGAGAAGGATGTTTTTGTGTTAATCGGAGTTTGTCTTTTTGCAGGGTTAGCAACATGATGCTGGAATCAGGGGTTGAATTTAATACAGAGTGGCGCTAGCGTGGGCACGTTTTTTGGTGTCTGGATGAATTGTTGCTTTACCGTTTTGCGATCTAGAACTTGTTCACTCAAAATTTCGATTCTCTCGTGATTATGCTGAAAGATTTGAAGTATGTATATTGTATTCGAGTGCTTTCATCAATTGCATAATGTTTTAGCACTGAAGAAATGAAAGAAAAGGAGGTTTGATGATGTGATACTTCGCGAGCTTGCAATTCTATAGATGTTCGATTCTCGGTATGAAGATAGGGGTACTGCATTGAGGTCCTTGCCTCTTTGGAGCGAGGAATTGCAATAAATGATACCCAGGATTTTGAAGCTGAATTTTACGTTTCAAGAGGAGAGAAATTCAAATTTTAAGTGTTTTAGGCTGAGTGGTTGTCCAAGTTATCGGGTTTTCAAAGCAGTGAAGAATCCGTGCTTTTCCAATAAATTGGATGATAGCAAGCATATTGGAGTATATATCGACACGCTGTTTTAAAATTCGAATGCGAAGCGGAATATCGATCTGTACATGAAGGTCGTGAAGATGGTGACTTCAGTTAAACTCCGCCCTTATCTGGCGGGGAAACGTCCAGCATTGGACATTGGTCGGAAGGGACGGCGGTGGCGAGTGAGCTTATCCACGAGAGTGTGGCGACTATTACTAGCTACTATTTTTATTGTTCTTATCATTGGTGCTAGCGCACAGTTTCCTCAATTCTCCCACTATATTGAAGGGGTAATATTTCGATGTTATGTCCATATCATTTTCCATCTTATTCTTCGTATCTTTCAAAATGCAAGTGATTCTCAATCTCTAGTAGGCGAAGCTTCATACATGAGTGGTCTTTGAATGTCATAGCTTCTACAGACTAGCTACCAAGCTTACAAATATGCGCAGCCTATCTTTTCCCCATTTATTGGTTCACCTCTCATATTCTTGATTACAGTTGAATTTTTTAGATAGTGATTTTGCATGCACGGGTTGACAATCACTTGATTTAATATTTATGCAGACATTGAAGCGATTTCTGCTCTGGGTGCAAGATGATGCTGGCGCGTGGGGTCCAATTATCTTGTGAGCTGACTTGGCTACTGTTACTTGTCGTATTTGCATCTTGTCCTACTATTGCAGGTCGTATCATATCGGTACCCTAACTTGATGCATGTGGCTTTTGCAGGGCACTGGCATACGTTCCATGCTCAGTCTTGGCTATTCCAGCGTCGATCCTCACGGTATTTCTATTTTCTCATTCAAAACTTTCATGAAGAACTACCACTGTGAAGCCTAGACGTCATGTATGAGGTGTATCACATGTGTCCCACTTCAACTTGTTCAGAGGCATTATATATTTGATGGGAGTATTATCCGGAAGGCACGAGAAAATCTCTCACGCTACAAATTCCAGCACTAGAATATCATATTTGGCTATTAAGCAGTTGTTGGGAAATTGGGAGTAGAGCTTTCGTTGTGGACGGAAATGACTTAGATTGTCATCGCGTTTGGCTAAATGCGTTTACAGTCTAACTTATTCTTCAATAATTCTTGCTAAACTGGTTCTGATTTGAGCAGCTAGGAGGAGGTTATTTATTTGGGTTGGCGGTTGGATTTGTTACGGACTCTATTGGATCGACCTTGGGGGCGACTGCTGCCTTTTTAGTTGGCAGAACGGTGAGAACACTTTTCGCACTTGAAACATTTCATTGTCTGACTCTGGATGCGCTTATAAAACGATCGACCTATTGAGTATTGACATTGAGATTGGTGATATAGATAACATAGCGAAGGTCATAACTGATATTGTGATCAATCGTTAGGGGCCCAATATTGTCTATTTCCGTTTCAGGCTATGAATGAAACATGTTTCTTTATCTGGTATGGTTTCCGCTTGCGCATGACCATAGTATTTCAGATTTAATAAACTATTGAATAAAACTTTTGAGAGAAATTCTCTCTTCATTACTCCATGCACTTGCTACAAACTGTTTGTCCTTTTGTAATAAGATAATATTCGAAGCCGTTTCATGGTTCACCATGTAATTGCAGGTCGGAAGGACGTACGTAACCTCGAAGCTTAAGGATTATCCTCAATTTCAGGCTATTGCCATAGCTGTTCGTAAATCTGGTTTTAAGGTATGTGCAGTTTTATTTTTCTACTTGTGGTATGTATCTGAGCATGCTAGGGTGCGTCATTGATACGACTCCTGTATATTATTTCAGTTACATTAGCAGAATTTTTCATTTTTATTTATTTATTTAGTTTTGTTTCGCCTTGATGCTTGTAAAAGTGAATACATGAGTGCATCTGCAAGTGAAGTTCGGAAAGGATCATCTGAACGTTAGATTTATCTCACATGCTTTGGTTTGTTCATTTGTACAGATTGTGCTGTTGTTACGACTTGTGCCTCTTCTACCTTTCAATGTGCTGAACTATCTATTGTCCGTCACTCCTATTAGTAACACGACCTACATCATTGCAACCTGGTTTGGAGTGATGGTATGTCCTATTATGCTTTTTGTTAATGCAAGTTCTGATTCTGCATGTGACTTTCAATGTAAGACATGGTTAGGTTTTTGTTTTGAACGCTGACGGATGGAATTTTCGTTATGTAGGGTATTAGTGTCGTATTGGTTAGTGCCATTCCGATCATAGACCTATTTCGATATTTCTTTTGTTTGATTTTTGTTCTTTCTTTCTTTCTTCTTGATATAATTTGCGCTAGCTCATCTATAGATGAGCAATTGAACTTACACCTGCTCGACATCGGTGCTAGTTTTGTCTCGACTTGTATTAGTCCTTGGTGAGTACCCCAACTTGTTGATGAAATGAAGATTAATCTGATACGTTGTCTTCATTGCCTTGCATCCATAGCCTATGACACTCGCTTTTGTGTACGTGGGGACAACAATCAAAGACATTGCAGATATCAGCCACGATGGAGCTCATATTACCAATTCCCGCTTAGTAAGTATTTAGCACACTAGTAAAAATTGGTATGCGTAATGACTAGCTCAAAAAGGTCGTGATTCTGAGCTGAGGAATGGAAAAAGTCTGGGAGATGATGCTTGGTGTTGGTGATTTTGGTCTACAAGATTTAATAGGAAGTTCGATAATTTAAATAGCTTGATACTTTTGCCTACCGCACCTCTAAATGACCTGTTTCTCGACAAGTGTCACATTGACACAAGTATTCTAACCCACGTTTGCGCTTGTCTCTGTTCACAGATCGTGCTGGGAGTTGGTCTCTTGGCCACAAGTAGGTCTTTCTTCTGGACTAGTAATTGAAGTCGTTTATCACTGAAGTGTTCTTGAAGTTCAGATCATTACATCACAACACACTAACCATTTCTAAACGTGTGTGCAGTTGTGGTGGGTATATTGATTACTCGAATAGCGAGGGATGCTCTCCGCACCGCGATTGAAGAATCTGGATGCGAGAATGAAACCATAGTAGTTGTGACAGACCCCCTTGGTTCATTGGAGAAGGAACCTGACATTCGACAACCATTGATTGGCAGAATAGATCCATCTTGCTATAGCATTGATGGACCGCAGCCTCCGGCACATAAAACACTTGATGCAGTCTTGTAAAGTTCTCCTTTGCGTCTTTTACCAGCTCATGTGCATGTATATTCTAAGAATTGGTACATGAAATCATTTTTTGACATCGAGAATGTAATGTGAAATATTTCCTCAGTAAAATTTATCGATTCAACAAGTTTAATATTTTGGGACATGCTCTCTACAGAAATAGGACTTTAACTCTACCCATGACGTTCCACAATACCGCAACTATGGGACCCTTTACCTGTTTCATTTTACTGGAATACTTTCATGACATACAATGACTCACTTTCACAATTAGAGGGTCACCATTGAAGGTCCCCAACTACCATATTGAATGACTTTGTTCAAATAGACTGCTGCTCCGTGGGTGCTTCTACCCACTGTAAGGAGAAGACAGGATTGGGCCGGACGGGAGTTCTACCTACTCTGGCCGTGAAACAGGATAAAAGTGTGCTTAAATTGGATCCACTTTAATGACCACCCTAGAATGTTAAGAGATTTGTTTCAAGCAGTGCAAAGCCATAAATTGTGGGTTTCCAGTGTTTCCAAGGATGCCACCAAAATCAATCGGTTTTGTTTATAGCATTCACTTCGAAACTCTAAACAGGAAGATTCTTGCAGCGAGGTGCATGCTCCACCCGCATTACCGACACTTGTCGAAATTCTCCGAACGATGCAGCGGCTCCGCGAGATTGGGTACAACGCACAGAGGAACGTACAGAAAAGAGAGATAGAGTGGGGCATTATGATGGTCCTCTCAAATTGGGGGCTGAGGACCAGAAGAATTTGCAAGGCTCTCTTCTAAAGACCAGCTGAGGATGGTAAACGGACGCATCTCCGCCACCGACGCCATCCCAACCAGCTCCTCGCCGCTGGATCCAGCCGCGTCGAAAGGACCCTCTTCACTGGGAGTGGGTCTTTTCTCGGCCCGTGACCGTGCCCGAGGTCTGGCTTGAAAGCAAGTGAGAAATTATACTGCAGCAGCTAATTCGACAAAGCTCTACGACCCTGCATTAGGAAAGTTGCAGCCATGGAGGAAGCTAACGCGCGTGCGCAAGTGAGGATGGCGCGAATTGCCTCGCACATGAGAGCGCCGGAGGTGAGGCGAATTTTTACAGACAATTCCGAGGTCTTCTGGTCTTGGTTTGTGGAAGTTGTGTGTAGTGAGATCCAGGGGGGGGGGGGTGTTTGGACGTGATGGGGTGTCTGTTTTTACTTATTTATTTATTTATTTTTGTGGTCTGTTCGTGAAGCTTTCACAATCCATTACTGCGGCCTCATTTTGCTATCTATCAGTGAGGTGGTGTTCGTTTCTTTTGAGGAGGTTATTGTCTGGATTGCTTTCATGGAGGGAAGTATTCCGGTGGATTTGTGGAGTTAGATGCTTGCGTTGATGAGATGGAATTGATTGCAGGGAAACAGCATGGTTGGGTTAGAGAGGGAGCCTACTCGTGCACGGGGTGCAGCTCCAGGATTCAAAGTGGCGGTGCTAGGAGCAGCCGGAGGAATCGGGCAGCCCTTGTCGCTGCTTATGAAGATGCACCCCCTAGTGTCCACTCTCCATTTGTACGATGTTTTCAACACCCCTGGAGTTGTTGCTGACTTGAGCCACACCAATACGTCTGCTGTGGTATTATCTCCTACCACATTCTCCATCTTCATACTCTAACTGAATTGCACAAGTTGTTTTTAAGTCTCTAATTTGTAGTGCCAAGTTCTTCTGTTCAAGCTTCAGTGCTTTGTTTTTAAGGAACGTTTTGGCATTACGATATTGACATCACTAACGTTGGCTGGTTCATTGGCTCCTGAACTTACATAAGTGCACCTCTTTGTTTTTTTGGAGGTGCGAGGATTTCTTGGCAATGACCAATTGGGGCCTGCTTTGACCGGAATGGACTTGGTCATCATTCCTGCTGGAGTGCCACGAAAACCAGGTATGACAAGAGACGATTTGTTCAACATCAATGCAGGTATTGTGCGTACTTTGATCGAAGGTTGTGCAAAGCACTGCCCGCGAGCATTCATCAACATCATCAGCAACCCTGTGAACTCCACCGTCCCCATTGCTGCTGAGGTGCTGAAGCTGGCTGGTGTATACGACCCTAAGCGCCTCTTCGGAGTTACCACTCTGGATGTCGTTCGGGCCAACACTTTTGTGGTAAGGTTCTGTTTATTTTGCTTGTTTTATCGTTGAACGAGTAGGCTACTGTGCCTGATTATATGGAGAAACGGGTTGAAAACTCGAACGTTATATTCGAACAAGGTGTTACTTTCTAAATTCTCTATTTGTAGGATCCATTTTTCTTGTAAACCAGGTTTGGATAGTCTGGAACTCAAAAGTAGAACACAGTGGGTTTAATGGTTTTTAGGTGTTGTGTGTAAGCTGTAGAAAGTCCGCATCAAGCTAAGCTTAGCAGTTCTACACTTGTGCAGGCTGAGGTTATTGGCGTGGATCCTAAAACCGTGGATGTGCCAGTGCTTGGTGGACATGCTGGTATTACCATCCTGCCCATCTTGTCTCAGGTGAGATACCGAGGAGGTCTTATTGTTGTTGTTTCTTTTCTTTTCTTTTCTTTTTGTCTCAATGACTCGTGAACTCAATCTTTGTAGCTTTCATCTATTCTTGCTTATTTGTATGTAATTCAACAGAAACTACATTGTGAGGTCATGTCGCTCACACGCGTTACATTAATTGGGTGTTATTCAGGTGACCCCCCAATTTACCTTCACAGACAAGGAAGTGGCATACTTGACCAACCGTATTCAGAATGGAGGAACTGAAGTGGTTGAGGTAAAAATGCACATGACCACTCAATATTTTTGGCCACTATGTTTATTTTTTGATGTTGAGCATTCTATTCTACGATTGAATTACATAGTGTTTGAATAAATACCAGCGAGTTGACTCTGGATTATTCATAACAGGCTAAAGCAGGAACAGGATCTGCAACTTTGTCCATGGTAAGCTCATCAGGCAACCTCATCAACGGGAACTGTTATTTAATAACAAGTTTGTCGTTTATACCTGTGCATAATAGACATGTTACTTTTGCTTCTACTAATTAGGATCACTCTGCAAATTACTCTTTTGTAAACCTCAAATGCAAGGGTTCTGTAGTGTTAGTGTGTATTTTCAAGTTCTGCTCGATCTTTTCCGAACCCTCATCTGAGTTCAAGGAATCCTTATGCTACTCGAATTTAAGAGTTGCCTCACAAATATTTCTTTGTCTCGTAAGAATTCTATGGGGTAAATGTCACGTAGAAACATGTGCTGAGCACCTGCGTGAGATTGCAATAACTGCGCCACCCTCGTGTCTTACTGATCCTTGTTCATGTTGCTCTGTTAAGGCGTATGCGGCTGCTGAGTTTGCGCAATCCTGTCTACGTGCATTACAAGGAGAGTCTGGCATCATTGAGTGTGCTTATGTTGCTTCTGAGGTACGAAATGACCACTCTAACCTATTACATCAACGTTACATTGGAATACTTGCATATTTTGCAAGAACCTTCAGTAGCATTACATTTTCAGATGGAGGTTTGTCCGTATTTCAGCACATAATGCGGAGTCAGATGTACTAGACTACGTCACAGTCTTGCTTGTTTGTGTTTGTCTGATGGCAACTCCTCGTGTTCATGGACATGTCTCATGAAACGTACTTCTGCACGCTTTTGTGTTATTATAATAACAGCAATTCCTTGTGTGCAGGTGACTGAACTGCCCTTTTTCGCAACAAAGGTGAGGATTGGGCGTGAGGGTATTGAGGAGATCTTTCCTGTTGGACCGCTGAATCACCATGAAAGGTGAAAAGTTTCACATCCTTTGCGCACACTTTTTTAATTCCATTCCTTTGGTAATATGTTTATGTGGTGTTCTGAGTTCTAGTGACCATACAGTGGAATTCAAGAACCATATGATCAGTAATGGAGATTGACAAAAATGCCTCGACTGCGCGAGACTTCGAGACACATCCAGTCAGACAAAGCATTTTATGCTGCATCTGCAAAGGTTGTATGATTCTAAATATACCAGCACACGCTGATGTGAGAAATTTGTGGTGGTTTTGCAGGGAGGGTATAGAGAAATTGAAACCAGAGCTTCGCCAAAGCATTGAGAAAGGTGTTAACTTTGTACATAACCCACCACCCAAAAAGTCCTAAACCTGTAAATCTAGGAGGAGACTTGAAGCTAGTTGTAGTGACTTTTTATCTAGTTAAGTGTGCAGTTTATAATGGCTCTCAAGTTTCATGTACTATGGTGCTTAAGCGTGGAAATTTAAGACGATTACAACTTAGGATGTACTCACTACAGAAAGCAGTCGTAAAGTTCTGTTTTAAATCACCTAATGGATATGGATTATATTATTATAGGCGTAAAGATGAAAAATGCACAAGAATGACACACCATCAAATATACACTCTTCAAAATGTACCTTTCATAAAATACAAGCAAATATTTGATCAGAAATTACATGAAGAAGATTGGAAGGAACATTTGAAAATGGCATAGTGCTAGTATGAGAACAGATGTCGAAAAGATTTCTTCCATAATACCTCAGGTGTTCAAACAATTTATTAATCTTCCGTTGAATTTATTTGGCTTATATTTATTATAATTAGAGTACATTAAAATTACGGCAGATGAAAAATACAAATAATTGCAGATCATGATATGTGACACTTAAATCAAAATCCTTAGAATTAAAAATTAAAAATAGTACGTGCTGTTAAATTTTAAAGAATGAAACTTATATCATCTAAGAATGTCAGAAATTTTACAAAATGTAACAAAGCATTTTATTTTCTATTATTTGTGCATAAAAGCAGGTTTTTATTTAAAATTTCATAATGTAAAAAAAATGTAAACATTTTATTTTAAAAAAAAACACACAAATAATTTTTTTAGCACATTATAGTTTATTATTAAAATATCAAATGTATATAGGGGAATGTTAAAACGACCCAGATTTTTATGCAAGATTGTTTCTCCGTTGCACGCTTCTTGTGCAGGAGGTTCTGTAAGTTTTGCTTATGTCGCATAGTAATATTTATCGAGCTCTATTGTAAGCAGGTCTGTCAGATTACTGCTTTCAGGTGCTTCTAGCTCTTCCTCAAATGCCGGTTACTGCAGTGGTTGCCGATTACTCTGAAGCTGTGTTATCTGATCGCTTCCAGGAACTGATCTTAAACCCGTCAACAAGTCCTGATGTAGATGTCAATAATGAGCAAGATACGAAAGCTTTTGAACTAGATCGCCCAAATTTGTCAAGAGTTGAAGAGTGCCAACGAATACCTCTTGACCACAATCACAGTAACTGCGTGGTCGCAATGAATCTAATCCAAACTCGTAGAAGTGCTACGGATGCTTCTCTACTAGGGGCAATTCTTTCAAATTCTTTGACAAGACAACCAAATCCACTCCTGCGTTTAATTCAGCGACAGCGTCACCTTCGACTCCTCGATTCAGTCATGTTGAGCGACAGTAGGCGTCATAATGACTGAGAAAATAATGACTGATCATGGTGGAGTCACAGCAAGAAAGTCCTTAGCTTTGAATTCCCTGACTTGTAAGCAAACCGTTGGCAAATCAAAGCAAAGCAACGAAATGAAGAAAACATCATTTCCACAAATACTAAAAGCACCAGAAAATTAAAAAGAAGTTTTCAGTACGATCAAGTGAGCATTGGATAGATTTGGAGTCACAAACATGCTCAGTTAGAAACTCGTACAAACAATACACGATCGTCCACAGCTGAGAAAGAAACACAAACGCGGTGGAGGACACGAGGTCGTAAGTACTTGAATCGTCTCTAGACTGAGGAGATGGTTCGAGTCTACCCCCTTTTCTAGTAGATGAATCTGAGATAACTGCTTACTCAATTACAGAGCCTTCAGCCCCAGCGTATTTTGTTTTCTCGGGCCAGAGCCCGATCTGGCTAGCTCTATTGCACAATCTGTAAATTCACTATCCACAGTGGTTCATTTCTGTGGGGTGGAGTTGAAGTTCCTTCCACCACTTGGCGGACACAACAATCTGAAGACTCTTAACCTCTCCGCTAATGCTGTAGGACTATATTTAACATCCATTTTATTGTTTTGCCTTTTTGTCCCCACAAGTGATTCTTTGTAGTCCATGTCATTTAATTTAGAATACACGTGACATAACATGTTTGGATTGGGATAGCCACATGTGGCTGTTCATGTCTTGAATTTTGACTTCAATTTTAAAATAAGTGATGGCTCTTCGAGTAAGATACTAAAGTCATTCTTGCTGTGATACAGTACGTATTGTCCCTGGATATCTTCCAAAGAATCTAGATACATTGGATTTGTCACGGAACAAAATAGTGGTAATTGAGGGGCTCCGGGGAGTTTCTCGATTGCGTATGTTGAACTTATCATACAACAAGATTATTCGTATTGGACATAGTGGGTATTACCAATCATCTAAATTTTAGTATGACTGAGCTGCAGTCAGGAATATTATTAATGGCTGTAATCATTTTGCATATTCCATTGAAGAAAAGTTAGTGTGCTAATGCCTGTGAATCATTAAAACTCTATGAGATGATTCTATTGCCTTTTAATAAATATACTTTATAACAAGAGAGGGAGTTCTATAGATATTTTACAATTATGTAGAGAAATCTCATATTGTAGTTTAAAAATATATTTTAAATTAGTAAAAGAATAATATAGAAATTAAAATGTACATAAAAGAATTATCTTATTGAAGTGGTGTTGTAATCTTCATAAGAATAATGCAATATTTGCACTTAAAGTAATAGACCTAGTACTTTTACATAACTTTGAAAATGCATGCAACTTTTTACTTGTTTTAAGTAGAAAATCTAAAATTCTAAGATATTACCTTTTACAAAGAAATGGAAATGGTTAAAGTTATTAATTGACATATACTAGATTGAAATATAATTTTTTTGCAATGTAATGTTATTATTGTAAATACTAAATTACACAACTAATTTTTCTTTGGGGGCTATTGATGTTCTTGCTTCTTAGCTAAAATATTATCAAAACTGATACTTAGTATTGAAATGATACCACATCCAACCTCAATTATCTATTTGAAATATGTATTACATTATCACTTATCTTGCATTGTTACATGATGCATTTGCATGCACCACCAATTAGTAGATTAATATTAATCCTTGTATTTAATCATACATTTACTTTAAATATATAAAGTGATAATATTACATTGCATACATATTCATTCAATTTTCTTGAACATGTGATGTTGTTACCTCAAACCACAATGTGATTGGTACAAGCTAGAAACCTCACCAAAAGTAGCATAATGTATTAAAAGTCTACATATTGGGTAAGAAATTAATTTCTATCTAAAGTTCTTTCAAAACCAAATTGAAAAACTATTAGACTAGGTTCATCTAAAATGTATACTTTCTCAACAAAATAAACCTCTTCAACTTCAACATCAATAGAGTAATGTTTTAAGATTACGCTCTTTGTCTTTCTATTAGTTCAAGCAAAGGTTGAAGCTGTTGAATGTGTTGAATGTCCCATATTATGTATACCAAAAGTTGTGACTTAACCAACTCTTAACTAAGACACTCGAAGTACTCTTTCCTTGGCTTTCGGCACATTTTATTTACAACAAATGGTATTCATCACTTTTCATAACTTATCCTATTTTTATAATATAGTATCAAATTTGGATGAATATTAATATAGATAAAAATTAGTTGGACAAAGTTTGGATGAAAAAATCAGATGTTTTCATTGAATGAAAATTTGGATCATTTTCTTGTTGTTAGAACTTTGTTATTGTTTAAGCTGATAGAGTTATTAGAGTTGTTGGAATTATTGGAGCTGTCAAAGTTGTTGGAGTTACTAGAGTTATTAGAATTGCTAAAGTTGTTGGAGCTACTAGAGTTGTTGTAGTTGTTGGAGCCGTTAGAGCTGGAATTTGATTCTATTTGAAGCTTATTTTAATTTAATCAAATTTTATTTATTATTGGCAATAAAAATAAGTTTGTTTTATGCCAATATAGCTTAGCAATACTACTTTCTAAATATTACACTTAGTAAACTATTTTTTAATTATTCACTTATAGTTATTTGTTGCTATTGTATTAATTGTATTTGGTAATGGCATCTTCAATAGATCATTGCATTGATTGATTAGATGTTAAAAACTATAGTACATGGATATTTATTATGAAACATTTGATGCACATCTGCAAGCTCTATATGCATATAGATGAGATATTAGAATGTCCTATAAGTATTGATAGAAAATTAAAATAGGAATCAAATAGAGCAGAAGTACAAGCATTGATTGCAGTTAATATTAAGCCTTTGCAATTGACTTATCTATGCAAATGTAATACTGCAAAGAAAGTGTGGCATACATTAGCTAAGATCCACAAATCCTTGGGAGTCATTACTGAGATATATTTAATGAAGAAATTGTATAATCTTTAATAAGTGGATGGAGAATCCATAGAGATTTTTCTTGAAAAGATTTTTGATCTTAGGAATTAATATATTGAAGTCGGTCGTGAAATGGGCAAATAAAATATGGCATTTTTTATACTTATTGCATTACCAAAATCTTGGAATCCACTTATTCAATCAATTGCATTAAAGTAAAGAAAAGAGATTAAGAAAGAAGTAGTGCAATCTATTCTTCTTGAGGAGAAGATGCAAAGGGTGGAAAAGACTAATTCTCCATTTTTTGCTTTAGCAATGTATGCAAGAAGAAATCAAGTTCCAAAGAAGCACCATCCATAGCAAAAAAAAAAAAAAAAAAAAAAAAAAAAAAAAACCTAAGATTGATAAATTTAAAAGTACTTGTAAGGCTTGTAGACAAAAAGAGCATTGATGATGTGATGTAGAATGTCCTAAAACAAATAGCAATGGTATTATAAATGCTAGAGTTGCTGTTGTTCTTTTAGTTCAAGATGCATCATTTAATTCAAAAATAATGATTACATCATTGTTTCAATTACAACATTATGTGCACATTGATAAAGTAGCAGATGTACACATCCAAGGAGATTGAGTTTCTTACCCAATGGTAGAATAGTTGTAGATTTAAAATAGATTTTAAAGAAAAAACTTACTAGCAATGGCTCTATTGAATGTTTTAAAGCACGATTGGTTGCTAAAGATTTTACTCAAGTAAAAGGTCTTGATTATCAAGAAACTTTTGTATCAATTACTTACCTTACAATAATTTGTTTATTTGTTGCAATTGTTGCTACTTTTAATTGGAATAAGTTGCAACTTGATGTTATTTTAGCTTATTTAAATACTTTAAGAAGAGAACATTTATATGAAGATTTTAGAAGGTTTGGAAGTTCTATCAAAGTATAAAG